TCTAAAACAAGACCCACCTTTCAGTGTTTGGAAAAAAACCATAGTCTGCAACTACACAACCGCTGAAATCAAGCAAGTAAACAGACTGTTGTTCTGGGTCCAGAGACTTTAATATTAGTTTTCTCAGAGAGGAAGTGTCTATTATTGGGGAGTTATCCTGTTTACTTCACTTAATAACAAAAGTTTCTCTTACAGGCCTACCATCCCTATTCTTCACTTCCAGAGCCTTGCATTTAGCTTTAGATAGGAGGGAATTTTGAATAGATGATGTTTTGATAGTGATTCTTGCCCATTTATTTTTTCTAAATGAATTCAATGGGAAGTAGCTACAAAGCACATTGTTTTGGCCGCCAGACCAAAACATAACTCCTAATTAACCCCTTCTCTCCTGAATATGGATTCATCTGTGCCGTATACTCATTCTGTATTATATAGGAGTGTCAGCAGTGCAATTAAACTCCAACTCTTCGGGGATGTACCCAGTGAGTTGGCCATTGGTGGAAGTGTGTGTTTTTGTCCAGGGTTTTGGGCAACACTGAATTGGTTCATCACTAGTTCTTGCCTGGCAACTCCTGTCATAATATCTAGTTTGTAGCTGTTAAAGTTGGACTAACAACATTAACTTTGATTTTTCTCTGCCTCTGTTAGTGTTGCTTCCAATGCGCATTCGTGGGTGGAATTTTGTATTGATTTGACAATACTTGAAAAATTTGAAAGACAACTGTTGTTCTAGGCAGGTATCATTCCAAAACTTGTAGAGGAATAGAGACGCGACTCAGTTGGGGTCCAAGAGTACAGGGTGGGTATCTTAGGTCCCAGGTGTGTTTGCTTTTCCCCTCTCTCATACATCATGCCTTGCTTGTTTTGCCGCACATAGGGCCCGCAAATTGAAACACATTGATATGTAATTTTTGCTGCTTCCCCCCAGCAAGAGAGTAGGAGTAGCTGATGAAGACAAGTATTGCCAGTTTTATGTTGCTGCTGCTGAGATTTCATTGTCCATTTTCCCCTACCAAATCCTCTATCAAGCTACAGAATACTAGACCTATTTTAAAAAAAAAAAAATCCTACAAAGCATATGTATAATCTCTCTTTTTACGTATATATGAGTTACATTAAAATTTATCCTTTGATCTACATTATTCAATACCACACTTCACATACCCTCTTGCAAGTAGGTTGTGCCATCTGGCTCTAACTGTATTGGATTTTTACTTCTTGAAGAGGGTCCGTTGTGTTCTGTCTGGATCTGTAACAATCTTTTAAAAACCCATTAATTCAACAGACCTGTAAGTTACCCTAAGATCAGATAACTTAGCAACAACATAAATATTACAAATGAACCTCACCCTGGAATTCCCACTCGGGTGTCTCTGGCTAGCCATACCAAATCACCTTACAGGGGAGAGAAGAGAAAATGGGCTTTGTAGTGCACCCTGGAAGCTAACCAAAGTGTCTCATAGGATAAGGTGAGCAAATGAGTTCCAAACGCTAGGGTGGGGGGAGCTAGCTAACAGACACTGTCCTGTCTCTCTTATACCACTGTGCCTCCACTGACAGCAAGTGTGGTAGCATTTCACAGGGACACTAGCACACACTTAACCTCTGAAAGGAAAAAACCAGTAGGTTATAGCTGCGCAAAATTTATTGCTGGTGTTAAAATAACCCACAGTTGACTGTCAGGTTCCAGACTTTTTGCAGGGCTGATTATTGGAAAGTTAAACATTATCCTCCTCTTTGTAAACGGAAGAAATCTGAGATATGCTAGAAGACATTTGAGTCAATAAATTGGAACTCCAATGTCATTTTCACTTTCCATAGTTTAACCACGCTTTTTTAAGGAACGGTCTTATGCTGTATTTACCCTGCTGGCTTGAGAGAACAAGGAGAATAGTGCAGATGGGAATTACTCAATTATTTGAAACAAACATTAGATATGAAAGGACATGCTTACCATGCTGTTCCAGGATGGCAGGGAGGTACAAAGGGGTCGGATCTAAGTCATCACAAATCTCTAGTTTTGCTGTCCTTACCTCATTCTTCTATTTAACATTTCCTCTTTTGAACATATTTAAGGGGGCTTTTCAAAACTCTCAGCAGAAGGTATTGTGCACACACAAGGTTTTCTCTATGGCTGTGCTTAGCATTGATTTATATTTTAATTGCCTAGTTAAGAATACTAAATTATGGAATAAGGAAAATTTTAAATACAGCATTAAGCTTCAGTGTAGGTAATGAGTGGTGGGAGATTTTGAGAGAGTGGGGTGGAAAGGAGAGAGAGGCAACTATTTAAGGATTCAGACTTCTTGAAATGTAATCTTGGGAAGATTTTTAAAACCAGCCAGAAATGATGGTGAAAGGTTAAATCTTGTCTAGTCTGCTATTTGTTGGGGGGCACTCCCTTGATGTAGACTTATGGGTGAGTGGGGAAAACTGTTTTGATTCCTGGAGCCTGCTGCAATGCAAAGCAAACCTCCATTGAATGGACTAGATGGCTCAGTGCAGCCATTCCCAAACTGTGTTTTCCCCCAAGCAAGCACTTTCTGGTGGTCCATGGCTGCTCCTGTGTTGCTGGCTCTCCTTGTTTCCAGCTACTGAATCACATTAAAGGAAGCTAAAAATACATTAAATACTTCACTTTCCCACATGAGAAATTGCTGTAATCCATGGTGGTGGTATTAGATCACTGGTGGAGCAGGAGATGGTCCATCAGTGGCAAGGATAGGTATCCACAAGACACTATTAGAATATGATCCACTTCATGAAAATGTTTGAGAACACCTGACTCAGGGGATTGCAATAGGATATGGAGCCTGTCACTTATTATGGATTGTCGGTTCAAATTCATCTAAGGTGAACAGCAACAGAGGGTTTTTTTTTTTTTTTCATGGGATGGTAGCTCACTGGTCAATGTAAAATAAGTTCAGTGGGGATTTTGGAGAGTCTCAGTCCAGCTAACAGCTGTGTTACTACAGAGGTGTTCACATAGCAGAATCCTCCAGCACCAGTGACCATTGATTTGCAGCCTCAGCTAAAAGGACAAGGACTGTGGAACTACACTCCTTCATCCAGTTCCCCGGAGATAGTCCCTTCAGGTCAGGGCTGAGATATCTTGTATTGGAGGGATGATGAGGGAAAACTTGAATTGCTGCTTGTACTTGTTGGCTTGTAGTAGAGGACTTTCCCATCCAGGGCACCTTTCATGAGCAATATGTTCTCAGAGCAAAAGAACCCACAAGATACTGGTGTTTAAATAATGGTGACCTATTTGAAACAAATTTTAAAATGGGCTTTGTATAAGAGACTTGTAGTAGTTGCACTATGCTATCTCAGCTGTTTGGAACAGTAGACATGTATTGTACAGAGTTGCAATATTTTTAGGACAATCAGTATTCAGTGGTGTTTGTATCTGTGGTTGAAAACTTCAAAAACTTTTTGGTTTTTGTTTTTAAATCTGAAGCATTTTGATTACTGTGGGAAAACGAACATTTACATTTTTTCAATTTGGGAAAAGTTTTGAATGTTAAGTGTGGTAATGCTTAAATGGGTGATGTCTTGAATGTTTCTTAATTCTAAATGAGAACTTTAAATAAATGTTTCTACTTAAGTTTTGGGCTAGAAGGGATTGAAACAGACATGTTTGCCCCATGTAAGCAATGGTAATTTGTTACCACAGATGCATGTGATGTAACTCTCAAAGATTAGTTCTATCCCCTCCAAAGCATGATTATTTCAGGTCCTCTTTATACTTTAAATAGATACGCTCTTCATGTGATTTCCATCTCTTTGTGTCAACAGCCAGGCTGAAGTTGAAGTAAACATGGCATCAGATTAGTAAAATGGACTCCAAAAAACCTGCTGTCCATTAGCGGGATAAATGCATTTGAGAAAGCCTTTGCAGTTTAAATTTGAGACTTTTTTTTGCCCATGCAGTGCAAGTATCAATTTCTAAATGCCAAATTCCTTAGGTTTCCGCAGCTTACTTTACTAAAACCAGATTGCTTACAGGCCAAGTTATTTAGTTGAAATAGATCTATTTTAAACTTGGCCTCAATAAGCACCATTCGGAGTACTTCTGTATAGTAATGCAATAATCAATCTAGGCTGGTAGAGGAAACGAAGGGGTTTATGTATTATCACTTCTTAAATTTAATATTTAGATTCTTTGGTCTGTTACAGGGACGCTTGTTTTTGGTAGGACCTGAAATTTGTTGTAGTAGTAAAACTTTTCATCTTTTGCAGAGTGTTGTTGCCTGTAGGTGGTGTATCTTTGGGAGGTTTTTCTTCTGAAACTTCCTGTTTACACCATTTTTTTTCAGTTCTGTATCTCAGGAAGCGAGATACGGCTGCCACAGAATTTTTGCATAGGATGTTACTAAGAGGCTTGTTTAGTTACATGTCTGTTTTTCCCTACTCCCTTCCCACACAACGGCACTGGGACAAAGTTTTACTGTAGGGTGAAAAAGAAGACTCGAAAGAAGTGTAAAGCTAGAAATGCTAAGAGAAGTGCACTTTTATTTCTACAAACCTCATTATTTGCTTTTGTTTGTCTTCTGCAGTTGTCACACTAGAAATATCTCTCATTGACTATTTTGATTAGGCAAGATGGCTGCAATTTTAACTGTGATGCAGTCTAAGAGCTGCGGAAAGGAAGTACTAAGGAAATGACACTTGCAGTACCAGAGTTAAGCAGAATTGTTCATGTATCTGAAACACATTTATTAGTACAATCCTCACTGTAAAAGGTGTGTGAGTAGACAGGGATGAAGAGGTCTCTATTTTTTGAAAAGACTACACTAAGCCAAGTCTAGTTTTACACACGAGTGTGATTTGTCAGTGATAAGATTGCTTTGTATCTAAAGCTCAGTAGGCTACAGACCAGAGAGAGCAGCTCTCAGGAAGTGGTGCTTGGAGTGCTTGCTATTTGATTTATAATGGCTAAATGCATGTGTAAACACTGAAGAAATATTATTGTTTACTTTTTAAAATCTCTGTTACAGTGTCATCATGACAACAGAGAAGAGTCTAGTGGCTGAGGCCGAGAATCCTAAGCAGCAGCAGCAAAAAGAGGAGGAGGTAGCTGCTGAAACACAGAAGCAAGAGGCTTCTCTGGAGGAGGCTTCCCAACAGGCATCTGAGGGGCATAATCAAACGGGACAGAAACAGAAGGCCTCCAACGGTGATACCCCCACACACGAAGACCAGAGCAAGAACAAAGAGCGCTGCACTTCCGAGAGTCGGGGGCTGTCACGCCTATTTTCATCATTTCTCAAAAGGCCCAAGTCTCAAGTTTCTGAAGAGGGCAAAGAAGTGGAGACTCCACAAGAGAAAGGTGAAGGAGGTCAGAAAGAGACAGATCTAGGAGCCAGTCCTGATGAAGAAATCCTACTGAAGGCCCCAATAGCAGCTCCTGAACCTGAACTCAGGACTGACCCATCTTTAGATCTTCATTCACTAAGCAGCGCAGAAACACAGGTAAACAAACAAAGTGGATTTGGATTCTCTTTGGCTTCCTAATCAGCTGGCTCA